CACTGCCTTCTAGTTTGTCATCAACTGTGTCTCCTCTGGCACCACCATTCTACCCAACCAGTGATACGGTAGAATCTGTTGTAGGTAAGTAGTCTCTGGTGTGCTATTATTTCTGTCAGGAAGGAGATCAGGCATTATATGAATTGATATATATAAAGTTTTATTTTTTAAATATTCCATTTCATAGTTGTGCCTATATTAGTTATAGTAACGATTTTGACAGTAATTATAATAATTATCATTATTAATGTTTTATTATTCATTTTTGATTGTTATTATAAAAGTAATAGTAGAAATTTAGAGAAGAATAATGGGCATCATTGAGAGAGATACTGTGAATGTAGATAATTGACCTGCATTTAAAAGTGTGGGATGGAAGGGGGGAGGATGCCAGGGAGCTGGAATTTGGTATTTGGTTATTCATGGAAAGTAAGGTTTATAGCAGTAAACACGACCAAAAGTGGGACACTGGACTTGAAACAATAAATTATGTTTTGCAGTTTGTGTATTGCAGAATTTTATCTTGAGTTTCTCCCAACAGGAAGTGCATTAGAAGATTTGAATTTAGATGAGCCATTGAACATCGCAGCATCCTTAGATAGAGAATTAGAAGTTGAATCTAATTCTATAAGTAATTCTATATCAACGGGTTTAGCTAATTCAGGTAAGGGATAATCTTGCTTTCTTCACTCTTCTCACTTCTGTTTTCTTCAGGCTACCCCCCTTCTTTCCTTTCCTGCAGTTTTTGTCTAACAACCTCATCATTAGTGCCCTTTTCTTTTAAGTTGGTCTCCATTCTACTTCATGTTTGTCTCTTTTTGGTTCTCCAAGTCATGCCCCCTTATCTGTTTATCAATCTATTCCCCTTTCTCTTTCTTACTGTCCCCTATTCACTTTGTGTATAATTTTTCCATATCAGTTTGCAAATACAGCACAGCCAAAGGAGTCATTGCAGACAGCCCTCTAAAAATCTTCTTCTTTCTGTTCCTTCAGGTTTACTTGGCTCAAGTGCCCCAGTTAACATCCCCGGGTCCAGTTTCCAGCAGGACCGCTCAGGTGGTCTCATCAGCAACCCATCTCCTTCATCGACATCCTCCCCAGCCTTTCCACACTCCTTCCTCCAGTCGTCACTGCATAGGGAGAACTCACTTGATCACGTGAGTAGTTGTATGAGACAGTGTGTGTGTGTATGTGTGTGTGTGTAACATGAGTAGTTGTATGAGAGAGAGAGACAGAGTGTGTGTGTGTGTGTGTGTGTGTGTGTGTGTGTGTGTGTGTGTGTGTGTGTGTGTGTGTGTGTGTGTGTGTGTGTGTGTGTCTGTGTGTGTGTGTGTGTGTGTGTCTGTGTCTGTCTGTGTCTATGTGTGTGTCTGTCTGTCTGTCTGTCTGTCTGTCTGTCTGTCTGTACATGTCTGTCTGTTTATGTATGCATTTGCATGTGTATTTGTGTGTTTGTGTGTGTGTTCATATGTGTGCATGCAGTATCTTTACTGCAGTATCTTTACACCAAATTTCAACCTCTTCTGACAGGGTGTGGCCGCATTATTGGGTGTGAACGGAGTAGGCAAGATCTCTGGGACGGGGTTCCCATCTACGAGTGGGGGTGGTGGGGGTGGCCTCTTTGACCTTGGCACCAACATGTCCCCACACACACGTAACCCCCTTAGCAACCCCTTGTCGCAGTCGCCACTGATGGCACCCTTTTCTGGCAGCAGTAGCTCTTCCACCTCAGAGATCCAGCGGTTACGGGAAGAGTTGGCTACTAATAGGGCAAAGGTGAGGATAAGTAGACATTGTTGTGATGAACACTTACATATTCATAGATGATGCATTTATTTATATGTTTATATACATATATAAGTAACTTTTAGATAAGCATTTTCTCTGTTTTTCTCTCTCTTCATTCCTCTGTACTATTAATTATCAAGCACATTTTATATTGATTTTCTGAAGGCCCTTGTCTCCAATTTTTTTTTCCAGTTGGCATCTTGGGAAGAAGGCATTGCACAAGCGCGGACGGCATGTGAAGCGTGGAGAAGAGAAGCCGATGATGCTAATAGGAAATTCAAATTATCTGAACAAACCAAAGAGGAGGTGAGCAGAGATTCATTATTTTATAATTATGTTTTTGTTTATATCTTATTTTCCCTCAGCAAAATCTTCTGTTGTAAATGGTGTAGTAAATAGTTTACGAAAGAAATGGAATCATGGTCTTGGGTGGAAAGAAAATAGATTTGCTGAAATTATTTTAGTAAAAGCATATTTCTGGAAGTACAAAGGAATAGTAAACACTTCATTACTCCTTTGTCACAAAGCATGGCTACCAACCATTTACCTTATTCTAATCTGCCTCCACCTCCATGCATTACAGTTTGCAGTAAAGATAGCAGCTCAGCAGAAGGAAATGGAAGAACTAAAAACCGGGGGATTAGGCCCTTACGTGCAGGCTCTTCACCCACACAGCGACCTAGAGAACCTGCCTCTCCATACCCTCAAGGCTCTGCAGTCACAGCTGCGCCAAGATTTAGAATCTGTAGAAAAGGTTTGAATGCTTTTCGTTTGAGTGTGAAGGCGTTCGCACTTGTATATGTATATGCATGTGTATCTGCCTCTTTATCGGTTTTTATTAGACATATCTCTTGGCTGCACGATAGTCTAGACTAGAAGAGATTAGTTTATGATTTAAAGTTTTATTTTTTTTATTTTACAGGTAATAAACAATTATGGCCTCAAGACTGAACAGTGGCCAGGCGTGGTGTCTACATGGTAAGGACAAGCAGTTTAGAAACCAAGTCAAGATGGCAGGCCTTTTGACAGCAAAAAAATTATTAATAAGGACAATAGAAATGAAGAAAAAAGTACACCAAGTGATGACTAACGTTGCCTTGGTCCCTGCCGGCTCATGTTGGTAGTCTCATAGAAGCATTATGATAGGCTATTTTTGCACGTGAAGTGACGTACAATTTATAATTTATGGAAAGTGAAGTTTTCCTTCAACCTCTACCATTGAACTATTTGCTTTTTTGTGGTTGTTGACGGAAAGAGATCTTCATCCGATTCCAAAGGGCCAAAGAGACGTTTTAGGGACATTTCGAGTGCAGGTCCAGCCCCCTCTCTGCGGGTCCTGTGCAATGCAGCCAAGTGTCACCCTGGGAGCTTTATTATGCAAGTGTCTGGGACCCGAACGGATCGACCGTCTCAGCGGGAAACGTTTTAACCTACAAAGCTTCGGGGCCAGCGGCGACGGGCGGCGAGGAGCGCGGCGGGGATGGAGAAGGTGCTCTCTCTCTCTCTCTCTCTCTCTCTCTCTCTCTCTCTCTCTCTCTCTCTCTCTCTCTCTCTCTCTCTCTCTCTCTCTCTCTCTCTCTCTCTCTCTCTCTCTGTCAGCGTTTCATCTTGGCGCCATCTCCCCTCCACCAAGAAGTCCGGCAGTGCTTATCCAGGACATGTGCTTTCTCCCGGGCAGAGCGGTTCACCCTGTCTGCTGTGGCTGGATGATGACGACAACCTTAGTGCAGAGTATTTGTTGCCTCACCAGAGATCGCTCCAGGGCCAGGCTCTCCCACCCTCGGATGGGCCTGGGTTAGAGCGATTTGTATATTTGTATTTCAATTTAGTGTTTTTTTTTTCTCTCTTCGAATGTTGCCTGTATGTTATTTATGATTAATGTAGAACAGCTGAGTTCTATTATGTTTCTGAATATTTTTTTTGACAAGGTGCACACATCAACATACTCTGTTACTCATATTCTTTCATAATATATCTCTATTTTATACCCTTCATCATTCCCTCTCTCTGTCTCTCATTTTTCTCTCCGTTTTCTCTCTTGCTCCGTGTAATCAACTTATGTAATCTACATGTTACGCCAGGTACATACCCTACTTACATATTCAGTACCTCAACCACATGTTTAAGGTATGAATGTAAGATAGAGGTAAGTTACTTACCGTAGCATGTAGGTCAGATAACAAGGTTGCATTCTCAGTCATCTGTTCACACATTGAAACCCATAAATGTATTCCCATAAAATGCACATGTACTCAGTTACATAGTATCTGTTGCTGATATGTATATTATGTTTTTTGCCTGTGTATTGGTTATGAAGACAGCATCTAAAGTGTTGTTTTTGAGCCTTACTGTGACTGTTACGAGTAGCTGCTCCCGTGTTTTATACCGTGGCTGAATCTTTGTTGTTTTTCAGTTTTCTATTTTTTGTTATTTGTTGGTTGTACAATTTGTTTTGCTTTCCCTCCTCGTTGACCTGTTCTGTGTGGCTTGAAGGTTTGGTTGGGTTTGAATACTCACTCAGATTTCTGTGTCTATAATTTGTGTTCTGCTGATGGTTACTTCTTTCTATTTTATAACTTTCTGATTTCGTCTCGTTGCTTTTCTTTCTTTGCCTTTTTGTTTCTATCTATTTTAGCAACATTGCAAGGTTGTCTGATGGTGGCAACAATCGAGCGGTTCACAGGTTGTGGCGTTCTCCCTAAAATTCGTCAGTAGCTTCGTTTGCTGTTGTCTCTCCTCCTTCCTTCCGTTCGCAGCCGCTCTTCCTTTTTTCTATTCCTCCGGCCGCTTCTTCCCTCTTCTGTCTGGCTCCCCTTCCATCTTTTTGTCTCTCGCTGTAGACGTTGGTGTAGCTTGAGTTCGTGTCTGATGAGCAACAAATGGCCTGCCGCTGGCCAGGACAGGGCATAGAGACGCGATTCGATGAGCGCGAGGCGGTTCCCCCTGACGGCCGGGCGACAAGACCCGCCGAGGCCGATCGACTCGCAGACGCGACGCGAATTCTGGCTGCGACCCGTGGCTTTCGCCGGAGCTGCGCGAGCGAGCAAGCGAGCGAAGGAGGGGGAGA